CTCTCTTGCCATAAGTAATTTTGCTCATTATAATAGTGGACGTGAAGCGCTCCGGACGGCAAAAGCGGTAGCATCGGCTATTCAACTTGGTGGAAAAGCAAGCAACATAGAGCTATAGGAGAATGGCTTCAATCACAAGGTTCGGACGTTTTAGCTTGCAGCTTAGTAGTGTAGCTACAAAGAGACTACGCTCGACGCCCACCACATTTTGTCAACAGTGGCGTGCCTTCAATGTGAGCAGTTTCTTGTCGGCAGGTGAGAAAAATAATTGTTTTAAAAATTTATGCAACAATCACTGCATTTGCTTTGATGATAACAACGAAAACAGCTGATATGCCAGTGACATTCAAACTGTCGTTTCGATGTGTTTAGGATTTAGAGTTGCCAAATTTGTGCAAAAACAATTTTAAATCAAATAAATTTGCAACTTATTTTAATTTCAGCACGTCGCTATACGGAAAAACATGAATGGGTGTCTGTGGAGGGAACAACGGCCACAGTTGGCATTTCAGAGTATGCACAAGACGCGCTTGGTGATGTGGTTTTCGCACAGTTGCCGGAGCCAGGTACGGCGCTACAGCAGCACGATGAATGTGGTGCATTGGAAAGCGTGAAGGCGGCAAGTGAGGTGTATTCACCAATTAGTGGCAAAGTAACTGAAAAGAATAGCACTGTTGAAGAGACACCTGGTTTAATTAATAGCAGTTGCTACGACAAAGGTTAGTGTTATACGTTAATAAGCCTACAGAATCTGGGAAAAATGCTTATCAAATATATTTAATATTTTTATTAGGTTGGCTCTTCAAGTTGACAGTTAACAATCCCGCAGAAATTGAAAAACTCATGAGTGAAGAGCAATATCAGGAGTTTCTTAAAGCTGCAGAACATTAATTGTAGGATTTATATTTCGTCTGGTGTTACAAAATGCTAACAAAAGTCTTGTTTTATTTGTATTTTTTACGTATATCATAAACAGTTTGAATTCTTGGCTTGCTTTACTCTTTTGCTATACGCTATAAAAGGGGTTTTACTCAACATAAACTTATAAATGTTGAAAATCTGTAATTTATCCTATCGTTTTTGTAATATAGTTTAGGACTTATTTAGTTTGTATAAGTGTTGCCAAGCAGCCCAGAACAATTTTTTGTTTAATACCACAGGTAATGCATTTACATGTGTTTTGGCGCGCCATAATATAATGAAGAAAAATCAATAGTTTAGTGGTTTTTACTTTTTCAAACTAAATCCATTAGAAATGTATCTATCTCCAATGGGTGTTTTAGCGGTATTTGTTTACTTAAGCTGCCTTACTTGGGACGATTTTCCAGACGATTCAACATTGCTCTGGAAAAATCACTCGTGTAAATAGTGATTCAAAAATCGCTTGCCTCAAAGTAGAGAGCAAGTCAACTTTTGCATGCGATTATCGCCTGTCAAAAAACCGCCTCATATAAAGGCAGCTTTACACCAAAGAAGCAAGGAAAATCAATAGAAGGCGGTCGCAACAATACGAAAACTAAATGTGCATGTATTTTCGTGTTGCTTTTATGGTCAAGCTGTCAAAGTTTACTTGTATTTTGTTTAATCAGTTTTGTGTTTTGTCAAATCAGTAAAAGCAAAAACAAAATACATGTAAGTCGAATGAAAGAACAAGCAATCAACCCTGCAAAAATCGTTGGACCATGTAGTCTATTTGTGGTAAATTGGAGTACTTACAAAAGTGTTCCTCTGTCATGCTGTAGCGGACCAACTCGTGTCTCTGCGCCAGCTTATTGTTTGTTATCCGATCACTGCTCGTGTTTTAACGAAACGTGATTGAAGTTGAGCATTTGAAAGCACATTTGCATGTCTGGCTGTAGCTGAACGTGTAGAGATGCTCGCTGTTAGTTCTTAGCTCCCAGCATGTTCGGGTTCGAATACCGTCAGAGGCAACATGTAATTTTTAATTTTTGTCTTGGTTTTTATTAATTTCGAAAAAGCATTTGAGAAGTGAAGAACAAAAGCGTGTACAAACGAAAAAATATAACAACAATGCCCATTGTTAATATGTTGGAGTAGTTTTGTGCTACTCTGATGTAATGCAGGGATGGAGTATATGGTCCTGCCCTAGGACATCGCAATGTTAATTGGACCATATTTTTTTTATGAATTGTGGTTAATTTTGGAGTACTCTTTGGTCCTTAGGGAGTACTCTTTACACGCATGCATGGAGTAGTCGCGATTTTTGCAGGGAAATTGTCCATTGACACCGCCTTATATGAAATCGTCTTGCAAAGAATGCAGAAACATCCTCAACCCCACGCAAAGACAAAACGCCACAAAAATTCCGTAAATGCCGAGAGTTGGCAACCGTCTTCGCAAAACAGCTGAAAATTGCTTCTTTTCTTTTTACCGAATTTATCACAGCCAACTTCAACTGGTAATGATGCCAACCACATTTATGTAGCATAACTATTAAAATTTTAAAAGGATTTTAAGACTTTTCCTTTGAAATTTCTATAAGACTTATTTTATATTCATCAAGAATGTGCTCATAGTAATAACTAGCGTCATATTGACCGAATGTAACTAAATTTTGAAATTATTTTGCAAATTTTACATATATTCGGGGATCAAATGTGAAGCATGGTAACACTTGTACTCGCTTCCGAGTTGAAATGAAAGAACCAGAAAAAATAATATTCTAACCAGATTCTCGTGTTTTTCAATAATTCAGAACATTGCAAAATAAGTAGATTCTGTGTTATTTGTGATTAAATTTTTTCATAGAAAATAAGCCCGAAATCGACTAAAGTTCGAGAGAAATATTATTTCAGTGCGACCGGTGATAACGAACGATATTTATTTAGAACAAATGGTCTGCGGCCTTTGTATTTCTATGAAATACGCGCTTCGCAACAAATACGGCCGCATGCTGTCTAGCTGAAGGTGAAGGCAATTTGTGCATTTCTACTGCCACTGCCGCCAGTGGCGACGACGACGACTTCATTGCTTAATAATTTAAAATAGTTTTTTTGCTGGCAAAGTGCCTAGCAAAATACCTTAAAGCTGGATAAACTGGAACGAACAGTGAAATTGACGAATATTACAAATCTAAGCATTGCTGACGAGGAATTTATATACAATGTCAGCGGTGACATTGAACATTTCATAAACCAAAGGCATAGTTCTAGGTGAGTAGGCTGTAAGGCAAAG